AAAGTATTTAAAGAGTGTTATTTTTTATTGGTTTAGTAACAGCAGATATTTTTAACAGTAATGCCTTTTGTCAAATGGTGATGTTTTCATTAATCTATAAAAAGTATTTGGATACGTAACACCAATAATTTTAGAACTCCATATTTATTAATAAATGTTTTGTTGGAATGTAAAATTTTGATAACCGAATTATAATTGTTGATTAAAGTTGAGTAATTTTTTTTTAAAATCACTCACTAATGTTTTCTCCAATGTGATTAATTTAACACGTTGAATTATTTGATAACGTATTATACAAAAGCACATGAATATTTTTGAGAACTTGTACATGCGGGGAGATTGTTTCACACCCGCTGTTTATTTATATAAAAAACAAAACATCGGTTTCCTTAACAACAATATAGATATATAGGTAACTGTGATGAGACTTGAACATTAATTATTAAGTTAAAGCTTCTTTAATTTGATTGTTTTGGACATTTACTGTTAGCGAAAGAGGCATCACGAGTCAATTGGGAACATACGGTAATGTGACAAAATAATAAATATTATGTATATTTCTAATTGTTGATGTGTATTTTAAATTAGGATGTTTGTATATCAAAGAAAAATTTGGGTTTTAATAGCGATAGAAATAAAGTTTGAATACATAACTAAAAGTGTTACTCACCCCAGGTTCAAGTGACATGACCATGAGACCAAATTCCAAAAAGTAAAACCAAAGCAGACCTGCAAAAATCGAAAAAAAAAATATTTCAGCATTTATTTATAATCAGAAAACTGAATATCCTACAAATTACAGGCATCTCAAATTTTGATATGTATAGTACATATGTATTGTGAGCGAAAGCCGCGGGCAATCAATACATCAGAGGTGCCGCTTGTTCTTATGATGGACAAGATAAAAGATACATACATATGTATACGAAAAGTTAGGAGAGGCTTTCAAAAACTTGAGAATACAGCTGAGCTAAATTATTACCTTCTAGAAGGGGGGNAGAGACTCGAGTCGCTCATAGAGAGATCTTCATTTCCTATCCAGTCTCTGAACGAGAGACTTGAATCTCTGAACGAGAGACTTGAATCTCTGAACGAGAGACTCGAATCTCTCAATAAGTGGTAGCTCGATAGACATGGTTAAAATTAAAGTTAAAGTTGAACATATTTCAGAGATCCCAGTCTTTCTACGAGACGCTCGAATCTTTGAATTAGCAATTTTATCGTTGAGAGTTGAGAGATCCATAAAAACACCTAGGCAATAACTGAGAGACTGTGAGAGACGCTCTCAGAGACGCTGAAAGACTCCGAAAAACTTTGAAAGATTAGAGAGAGACTGAAAATTTTTGTCTAGGGATAGTCAGTCGAGTATTAATCAATTTAAATACAGGTTTACACAGTGATGAAATACATACCTAAGTGAAATAAATAAGAGATTATAGTATATAAATAAGTTATTATATTATAATATAAATAAGTGTATATGAGCTTATAGTGTCTAAATTATAGTACGAAAGCTTATTTGTGTTACCTAAATACATACGATTTTTCTTATAATTACATGTATTACAAGAGATGTATTAGGGAGTTTTGTCAATTATAATCTTTAACACTCTGCAAAAACTATAATTTCTTTGGTCTGAAATTCTCACGATGGATACGATAGGAACATCTGTCTAGTTAATTGATTGTTAGCTGGTATAAAACTCAAACTTTCTAAATACAGTAACCTTTAAAAGAATCTACGTAATTTTTGCATCATCTTGATAAGTACCCACGTAGTTAGCTACACTAAACACGTTCAGGTTTCGCATCGCAGTTTGTATTATGATCTTGTTTATTTTTTCAATTTTTGTTATTTCATAAAAGGAATTAGTGAACGTCTAAATTCGGGAAAGAGGGAGTAGGTAGAACATGTTTGCCCATGTCTTCTTGTAAAGTAGATAGATGGTCGAAAGGCAAGTGGTCTAGATTTTGTCACATAGATACTTTCATATACAATGATGAATTGTTCGCACATTCACTTTGAAGTTGCCAACATAAGTTTATTTCATACTTTTTTATCTTCCGATATTAATAGAGTAATTTGAGGATAGACGGTCCAATGGTTTTAATGGGAAAGTTGGAAAAGGGTACAAACGTATAAACGTATCTCAGGTCAATACTATACGCCGGCAACTCAATAACGGGTGAAATATTGGCTTTACAATTTAACAATTACGAGGGCGGTTCAATAAGTACCCGTATTTGAAGACAGAGGACGTTTCTGAGGGAAATTAGTGTTGTCATCGTGTGCTGCCATCTATCAAACCACGCCAAAACGAATTTCAGACTGATTGATAGATTAGTTTGGATTTGGCAGCCATTCGACTGAGACGTGTTTCGTTATTTTCGCTAAGATGGAAAAAGAGCAGTATCGTTCGGTAACTCGCTTTTTGTTTTTGGATGGGAAAAAATGCGAGGAGATGAAAACAAAGTTGGATACTGTTTATGGAGACATTTCGCCATCTACGACCACAGTTAGATATTGCTTCAACGAATTTAAACGTGGGCAAAGATCCGTTTTTGATAGGAGCGACCAGGAAGCCTGGCAAACGTTGTTACCGAGGAAATCATTTTACGGATTTTTTAGGAAAAGGAAGAACGATCACTGGACAATACTACAGTGAGTTATTGGACCGCTTCGACAAAAAATTGAAGGAGACACGGACGCATTTGACGAAAAAGAAGGTGCGTTTTCAACACGATAACGCACCGGCACATTCATCAGGAGTTGTTGCCGCCAAAATGCATGAATTACGTTATGAATTTGCTGCCACACATCCCGTACTCACTCGATTTGACTCCCTGCAACTTCATCTTGTTCCCTACCATGAAGAAATGACTAGCGAGAAAGAAATTTAGCTCAAACGAGGAAGTCATCGCCGAGACAGGGGGAATTTTGGAGAGTTCGACAAATCTTATTTTTTGTAAAAAAAAATGGCAGGGTCGCTGGGAGAAGTGTATCTTTTAAAAAGGGGACTATGTTGATAAATAAAAAAAAAATTAAAAAAAAAGGTGCCTTCATTTCTAACACGGGTACTTATTGAACCGCCCTCGTATTTCAACCGAGTAAGAAACTCAGGTACGTAAAAAGGGAGTTGCTGCAGTTGACAAGTATTGAGTGGAATCTCACTACCAAAAGAAAACGAAAATGATGTCTTCTAACAAAAAACTCCTGAAACTCCTTCGACCAAAATATAGAACAGTTACCAAGAAACCGAAAGTCATCAAAATTTCTAGAAATGATTCATCATTGAATGAACATCAGAAGTTAAGTCATTATGTTATTATTGTTGATATGAAACTTACACTGGTTGTAACAACAACTACCCTCTAAAGACAAAATGTGATGCTGACGACTCTTCTGTTCCAAATTGGTTAATTTTTGCCACGATTGTGCATGAACTATTATGTACAAGAAGAAATAGTCTCTGAATAATAATTTAACATATAATTTTCAATTGTGCCATTTCACCACGTCATTGTCGGATTTGTTATTCTTTTAAAGTTTATTAAGGATTAATTAATTGTAGTTAAATAATGTTTAGCCGTTTATGAAATTAAATATATTTAAGAAATTCAAAATATATAAAACACAAATAATAAACTGTTTGATGCATATTATTGCCCATGAATAATACCAGGTATCTTATATGCCTTNCTTTTAAAGTTTATTAAGGATTAATTAATTGCAGTTAAATAATGTTTAGCCGTTTATGAAATTGAATATATTTAAGAAATTCAAAATATATAAAACACAAATAATAAACTGTCTGATGCATTATTGCCCATGAATAAGATTTAATACTAAAAACGCTTATTATCTGTTTCGTACGCTCGTGTCAAGGTTTTTAATACTGTGATTCCAGCAGTCCACAATACCAAGAATTGCGGATTTCTTGATAGCTTTTTCTCTAATATTAATATTGAATGATCGGTACCGTAATGACAGCATTCTTAAAGCGTAACTGAAAGATTTAAACTTCGACGTGAACTTTAAAAGAATATAATAATTAATAAGATTATAGTGAAGAAAACTGATTTTATTTTTATAAATTTAAATATTGAATATTCCCACTTAGTAATTATTTTAATCGCAGGATTCCAGTATTAACGGAGCTAAATCCGGTTTCAGTACCGGTATTTGAAAGCCTGACTAAATAGCCTTATTTAAGAACGTTAAAGCATTTTCCAAATTTGGATTAATTTGAACTGTTTTTTAAACCATTTGGAATGTTGGCATCTAATTCGATCTGGGCGATTTGCTGCATCTCAGTAGATATATATATAATCAATTACAAGATGCATCCTTCATCCCGATGCGATGATGTAGCAACGTGATTACATACAAGATATAATAATAGGTACCATAAACATAGTACTTTTTCCAAGCAAAGGTCGTTTTCTTTGACCTATAATAAGTTGATTAGGAGGCTGATTAGTTATTATTTACCTTTATGTAACCAAGTTCCCATACTCATGAATTGCTTAGTTCTTCTTGCGTAAATTCGCAGAAAAATCGATCTCATAACTTCCAAAAGGCATATATGAAATTGACAGCATCTGGGAAACGGTTGATACATCAAATGAAATAAGAACAGCGTAAATTTCATGCGATTATGAATCAAACCGAAGAAGAGAAAGTTAGAAATACGTATTTATATATGAATAATATTAAACGACAAATCAAAAAACGTACTTTATGATTAATTTAAATCGTATATATGGACTTCCCAATTGAACGATGGATACGATAGGAACATCTGTCTAGTTAATTGATTGTTAGCCGGTATAAAACTCAAACTTTCTAAATACAGTAACCTTTAAAAGAATCTACGTAATTTTTGCATCATCTTGATAAGTACCCACGTAGTTAGCTACACTAAACACGTTCAGGTTTCGCATCGCAGTTTGTATTATGATCTTGTTTATTTTTTCAATTTTTGTTATTTCATAAAAGGAATTAGTGAACGTCTAAATTCGGGAAAGAGGGAGTAGGTAGAACATGTTTGCCCATGTCTTCTTGTAAAGTAGATAGATGGTCGAAAGGCAAGTGGTCTAGATTTTGTCACATAGATACTTTCATATACAATGATGAATTGTTCGCACATTCACTTTGAAGTTGCCAACATAAGTTTATTTCATACTTTTTATTTATCCTCCGATATTAATAGAGTAATTTGAGGATAGAACGGTCCAATGGTTTTAATGGGAAAGTTGGAAAAGGGTACAAACGTATAAACGTATCTCAGGTCAACACTACACGCCCGCAACTCAATAACGGGTGAAATATTGGCTTTACAATTTAACAATTACGAGGGCGGTTCAATAAGTACCCGTGTTTGAAGACAGAGGACGTTTCTGAGGGAAATTGGTGTTGTCATCGTGTGCTGCCATCTATCAAACCACGCCAAAACGAATTTCAGACTGATTGATAGGTTAGTTTGGATTTGGCGGCCATTCGACTGAGACGTGTTTCGTTATTTTCGCTAAGATGGAAAAAGAGCAGTATCGTTCGGTAACTCGCTTTTTGTTTTTGGATGGGAA